GACGACTGTAGAACTGACTGTTTTGTACTGTTATTCCGAGGACGTATGCACGACAAATAAGATGTCACAGTGAGGCTAATTATGAATTTTGTAATAATAGACCAGACGATACTGACTGGTTAGATTTGTTTTCGACTGCGCACTCTCCGGACGACATGTGTGAACATTTTACAGCCAAATATCTGGAAATAGCTGGGGAGTGCATACCTACACAAACTGTAACGATTCGATCCAATGACAAGCCTTGGTTCAATTCTGACTTACGACGAGAAATTAGGAAAAGAGACCGACTATTTTTTTTTTTTATATCTAACCGTTCTATAGTTAACTTATCTTATTTTAGAAAACAACGTAATCATGTTAACAATCTCAAAAAATGAAATTGTCTTTGCTGACATAAATAGCATTTTAGATCGTTATTCTGGTTCGAACCCTATAATGTTTTGGAAAATTATCCGCAGACTTTAAAAACTGTCACCTCCAATACTATACCTACCCTTATTGATGATGCAGGAAATCTTGAAATGACAAATGAAGGTAAAGCTAATATCCTTAATGTTTACTTTATTTCTATCTTTTCTATTGACGATACTGACGTTGACGTACCAGACGTAGAGCTAAGGACGGACGCTACAATATCTGACATACAATTTTAATTAAACGACATTACTGATATTCTAAAATCTTTACCTATCAACAAAGATGTACATGTAGGTAGCGACACAATTAGACATCATTTGTTAAAAAATACTGCGGTCTCTATAGCCTAGTTATGCCATTATTTAAAAAAAAAAGGTGATAAAAAAGATTATGCAAATTATAAACCAATATCACTACTAAGTTCTATCGGGAACGTTTGCGAACGTTTGGTTGTTAAATACTTACATAATTATTTGCTTAAAAATTCGCTGATACATAAATACCAATCTGGTTTTCAGCCTGGCCATTCTACTGTTCATCAAATTATTGAAATATATCATACATTATGTGAAAATATTGAAAAAAAGCAATCATCCTGTCTAGTTTTTTGTGATATTTCTAAAGCGATCGATCGTGTGTGGCACAAGGGACTGGATGTGAAATTAGCAAACCATGGTATACGTGGGAAACTACTTGTCTGGTTAAACAACTATGTAAGTAACCGAAAACAACAGATCTTTGTAGGAAATAGTAAATCTTCCGTTAAAGCTACAAATGCAGGCGTTCCACAAGGTTCAGTTTTAGGTCCTTTACTTTTCATTTTATCTACATAAATGATATATCTGATAACCTCGAAAGTCTTTCAAAATTGTTTGCTGACGACACGTCTTTATTATGCTCTGAACCATCCCTTTTGGCTATAGAAACTAAAAATAACAGCGACCTAGTTAAAATTCAAAAGTGGGCAGAAAAGTGGTGTGTAAAATGTAATCCCCTAAAAACGGAAGCTTTACTCATTTCAAACATTGAACATGATCATGTGATAGATATTAAGTTCAATAATGTGAGTGTTGATTTTGTAGATAATCATAAGCACCTAGGAGTTATTTTGGACGCTAATTGTAAATAGAGTAGACATATAGAAAATATATGTAAAATTTATCCAAGCAGGTAAGTATCCTTCATAAACTGAAATATATGTTAAATAGACAAACTTTATTCAAAATATATAAATCATACATTCTTCCCTTATTAGAATATTGTTGTGAGGTTTGGGACGGGTGCTCTATCGGTGACGCAAACAAATTGGAAAACTTTAGTTGGAGTCTGCTCGAATAATAACTGGATTACCGTCTTATGCTAGTAGAATTTCTTTATATTCTGAAAGTGGGTTAGAACCAATATCAAATCGACGTTCTAGGAGGAAACTACAGCTATTCTTCAAAATTATTAACAAACTCACGCCCCGTTATCTAGCTTCTTTACTGCCCCCTTCAGTCTCAGGAAACTCACATTATCACCTCCGTGACGCAAATAATTACTCCATACCAAATTTCCGAATACAACTAACCAACTTATCATTTTTCCCATCTACGACTCGACTTTAGAACCAACTAGATTTTGAAATTAGAAATAGTGTTTCGTACACAGCCTTTAAAAAATCTCTTCGAACCATGACAAAAACTCCAAATTATTACTTGATCGGAAATCGGAAATCCAATATATTGCAAGCCAGACTGAGAAATAGATCTAGTACTTTAAATGATGATCTATTGCAATCTAATTTAATTGTCTACCGTCATTGTCAGTGCGGTCATCCCATTGAAGACTCATACCACTTCTTCTTTGTTTGTAATAATTATGCGGACCAAAGAATAAAAATGTACCGTGAATTGAATGAATTCATCCCGCTAGACCTGCAGTTATTATTGTAGTGATATTTTATCTTTAGAAGACAACATTACAATATGTCAAAGCACCCAGCAATATATTTCAAATGTTATTGGGAAAGGCCTTTATATAAGTTAGAAAACATGTGCCCATTCCAAATGTATATTTTGATGCACATAAAATATGTTTAAATAAAAAAATGATCTCGCTTCAAGTTATGCGAACTTTCTGAAAACGGAATTGCTACTTTGTTACGGTCAAACGTGTAACACACGGAGAGCTTCAAATGATATACATAAAAGCCAAGCCAAGCACTCTGACACTACCATATTGCTGTACGATAATGTGGGCCCGGACAGGTTCGGCCAATGATACCATGGCAAGTTCGGCCCATGTAACACATACAAAGTCGTTTTCTTCGGTAAAATCCGAGTTGCATGCTTTATGAGGTCATAATTAAGTTGATTCCAATAGCGGCCAAACTTACCCGAATGCCTGTCCGAACTTATTCCTTGGCGTGGCTCGATAGGCCATCCGATCTTCCGACAGGGAAAATTAAATGATGTTCAAAAACGGACGTTCTGCCATACTTCCCAGAACGGACATATCGGTCTTAGTCTCATTAGAACTTATGTTTAATTGTTATTCCTCGACTAGCCGTCTTCAAATAAAGTTTATTTCATCTCATTCTGAAAGCAGTATTCTGAATCAGTAAATATCAGAGATTAACAAACGCTGCGCTCTATTAAGGCTTTGCCTTTTCATATTATATTAAATGATATGTCTTATTAACTATTATCATTTCCCCCTTCTTCAGACCCAGTCATTATTGACATCTGTAGATCTCAGCTAAATGTTGACCTACGCCCTGAAGATATTTATAGGTCTCATGTTATTGGGAAGCCCACTAGCGAAGGGAAACATCAAATTATATGCCGGTTCAGCAGCTGGAATCTTAAAAACTCTGTATTTAAAAATAAAAACGCTTAAAAAATAACCCGTCTAAACTCTTCATTACCGAAGACCTGACCAAAGCTAGGCAAACGATAGTTAAGGATCTTGGACGAGCCAAATGGACCAAGTCCATTGATTTTTATTGGACCAGCGATGGGAGAATTTTCTTCAAACGATAGAGAGACTCGGAACAAATCCTAATCAAAAACATTCACCATCTGCATTCCATCATTCCAACTCTTCACAATGACTCCTCTGCATGATCAGTATTGAAGTATTCTAAGTACTTTGATTGAGTGTATCGCGTCCTGCAACCAGCATCAGCAACATCTTCACCAGCACTGTCTTTATCGTCTGCAACTTTCTCCGCTCGAATAACCTCACTGTTGACTGAAAATGTCACGTACGTTCATGATGTGTGTACTTTTATCACTTTACGTGATGATCCAGTATCCTTTTTATCGATTCATATAGATAGTTAATCCTAACGAGATATTCATATCCATGTATCGAAATGTTAACTTACCATTATATTTGGACATCAATATGGTTGTATTGCATACAGAATGATGTTATTTAGTGTTTGATATTTAAAAAGAATTTAAAAAAGTGTCATTCGATTGATATCTAAGGCAAGTATCATAAGTGTCATATATTGCTTGATATCCAAAACAAATATCATTTATTGTTTTATAACCAAAATAAGTATCATAGAATGTTTGATACCCAAAATAAGTATCATTTCTGGCTTGATAATAAAAACAAATATAATTTATTATTGGATATATCAAAACAAGGATCATTTGTTGATATCAGAACTAATAGCATTTATTGTTTGATATCTAAAACTGATATAATTTATTGTTTGATATCTAAAAGTAACATAATTTATCGTTTGATACCCAAAACAAGTACCAGTTATTGTTTTGATTTCTAAAATAAGTATTATTTATTGGATCGATATCCAAAACAAGTATTACTCATTGTTCGATATCTAAAACAGACATTATTCATTGTTTGATATCTAAAGCAAAATTCATTTATTGTTTGATATCCAAAAATAAAGGTATTATTCATTGTTTGATATCCAAAACAAGTATTATTTATTGTTTGATATCCAAAATAAGTATTATTCATTGTTTAATATCCAAAAAAGTAATATGTGTTGTTTTCAATCTTCAAATAATTATAATGTGTTGATTGACAAGAACCACAATTACAGATATCCTGTAATGATTGATATCTCAAATCAAGTATCCTATGATGGTTGATATCACAGAAGACAACTATATTGTTTTCACTGATATCACTAAAACAGGTAGCCTGTCTTGATTGATATCCGTATGAATCACGTGTCTCCCCAAAATATGCCTACGTGATTACTCATGCCTTCTTTCGTTTTACCTATGATATGGTCTATGTGTAACCCTCTACGTAGTCTGATTATGTCTACCTTGTCAATATAAGCTATCTAAAGTGTCTACCTATAGTACCCTACCCTGTGTTGTTTGTGTACCAAATGTACACATTTGTATAATCTGTTTGTCCCAAGCTGACTTGTATATAATTAATGACAATGTTATTCATATAGTTATACCATGCTGAAAATGTAGATAGTTTTCCCATTTTTTCTATACATTGTCATTATATACAAAATAATCATAATCTGTCGGTCTATCTATCTAACAATCATTTTACCTCTTACTCTTCTTTATAGCAGCAGAAACATCCCTCGGTTCTCCACCTATGTTTTCTTTTCTTTACCTTTCCTGTTTACTATTCCCCCTTCTCTTCCCACTTCCCCCTTGTTTATTTCTGGGTGACCTTCACCTCGAGTCCGTTTGTACTGTTGGACAGGTCTAAACGCACGTGCGCATGTTCTTTGCCGATAGCCACCCAACCATGACCGTTCCTGATAATGGGTAACGATATAGTAGCACACAGGGTGGCGGTCGGCAATTTCTACATGCGTACACACTGTAACCACTCGAGCTCATCTTCAATATTTAAAATTAATTTAAATTTCGTATTTGATGAATTTGGAAATCTATTTGAATTCCTTCTTCTAACATTTAAGACCACACAATACAGTATTCTCTTTTATGTTATACATAGCTATTTCAGTAACACTAATTTCATCCTTATCCTCCATCTTTTATTATTGATTTGCATGGACATACATGAAAACCCTGGGCCTGATGTATCTTCCGATGAATTAACAATTGTCCATTTAAATATACGTAGTTTACGAAATAAGCTAATTCACCTTGAAAATATTGCAGACGAATTTCACGTAGTATGTATCACGGAATCCCACTTAGACAACAGTATATCTGACGAAGAAATAGCACTTCCAGGTTTTAATAATAATCCTTTCCGGAAAGACCGTGAATATTTCTGCCCAGCGGCGTTTTGATTTAGAATTTCAATCAGGTGAGGCCATCTGGGTCGAAATTATGTTTATTAACTCCTCGTATCTTCTATGTACAGTATATAGACCAAATGACTGTGTAAATCCATTTTGGGAACAATTTGAAAACTCCATTGAAAATGCACTTGATGAAAACCCACATGTCATTATAGTTGGTGACATAAACGTTGACCTACTGGTAGAAACTCGTCATAAACTGAACGACATTATCCGCACGTATCTGTTTTCTAATGTAATAAACCAACCAACGCGGGTTGGCCAAACACGTGCTTCGCTCCTTGACCCCGTGCTCGTGAGCGATACATGCGTTGTTGGTTTTTCCGATGTTATTGAAATTGACAGGGACATTTCGGACCATGACGCTACTCTCGTTGAAATTAAACTAAACATTTTTCTTACTAACAAATTCAAACGCATTATAAAAATGCTGACTATCCTAAATTTAATAACCTGTTACAAAACACCGATTGGCAATACGTATTTAGAAATGCTTATACATGCGACGATATATGTTCGATTTTTACAGATAAGCATTTGGAATATGCCCATCTTTGTATTCCAACTAAGGTTATTACTGTTAGACCGAATGATAAACCGTGGTTTACTACTGAACTACGTCGTGAAATTAGGATTAAAAAAAGATTGCATAAAAAATTAAGAGTTTTTTTTTCTGTAGAGAATTTAGCAAAATTTAAAAAACATAAAAATCATGTCAACAATCTCAAACGTAGAACAAGAGAACATTGTTATGCTGATATTAATGGACTTTTAGATAACTATGCAAAAACTAATCAAAATAATTTTTGGAAACTGGTTCGGAGATTAACTAAAAGTGCAGATTATCTTACATTATACCTCCTCTAAAAGACCCTATTACTAATTCTACTGCAGTAGATGATGAACGGAAAGCTAATATTTTAAATGACGATTTTGTGTCTATCTCTACTATAGACGACTCAGGTGTACCTTTACCACAAGTTGATATGAGAACCCAAAGTCGTATAGATAATATATTTTTTACACAAGCTGATATTGTTGACATCCTTAAGTCTTTAAAATTAGGTAAAGCTGTTGGATATGATAAAATTAGTCACCAAATGCTTAAAACACAGCTCTTTATGTTTCATTTCCGCTATTTCTCATATTCAGAAAGTCTCTTGATCAAGGAATTCATCCCAATTCCTGGAAAAAAGCTTTTGTCATGCCCATTTATAAAAAAGGTGATAAACAATGCCCCAGTAATTATAGACCAATAGCTTTATTAAGCACTGTAGGGAAAGTTTTTGAAAAAGTTATTACAGCATAATTATTTATTAGAAAATTCATTGTTTTATAAATACCAATCTGGATTTCAGCCATGTCACTCAACAGTACATCAACTAATTGAAATGTATCATAATGTATGCATAAATCTAGAAAACCGTCATCATACCTGTCTTGTTTTTTGCGACATTTCCAAAGCTTTTGATCGGGTTTGGCATGCAGGTCTTGTACACAAATTAAAAAGCTATGGAATTAATGGAAATCTTTTAGACTGGCTATCCGATTATGTACAGAATCGCCATCAACAAGTCTTCATCCACAATGTTACTTCTCATACTAAAACAACTAATGCTGGTGTACCCCAGGGCTCTGTCTTAGGTCCGCTTCTTTTTCTCTTGTATATCAACGATATAACTGATAACCTTGTCAGCCCTTCCCGTCTTTTTGCTGATGATACTTCCCTATCCGTCTCTTCTCCTTCCGCAATTGAACTAGAAACTACTACTAACCGAGATCTTGAAAAAATTCATAACTGGGCAGAAAATTGGCTTGTTAAATTTAATCCTAATAAAACTGAAGCGCTACTAATTTCAAATACCAATGCTGAGCTTGATGTCAATCTCATTTTTAATAATGTTAATATTGATTTTATCGAACATCATAAACATCTAGGCATTTTCCTAGATGCTAACTGTAAATGGACTCACCATATTGATAACATTTGTAAAACTGTTACGAAACAAATAGGAATTCTCCGCAAGTTAAAATATACTTTAAATCGCAAGACATTAAACAGAATTATCTTACTTTTATACGCCCTCTGCTTGAATACTGTTGCGAAGTTACGGACGGTTGTACAACTGCCGATGCAAATAAACTTGAAAAACTCCAGTTAGAAGCGGCGCGTATTGTCACCGGCCTGCCATCTTTTGCTAGTAGAGCGTCTCTTTACTTCGAAACTGGTTGGGAAGTCTTGTCTCAACGTCGCACCCGCCGCAAACTTCAACTTTTCTACAAAATTCACAACAATATGACTCCCTCGTACCTAACTGACCTTCTCCCGCCACTAGTAGATACTTTAACTCCTTATAATTTGAGAACTCTGATAACTATTCCATTCCTAATTTCCGTTTTACAATCTTCACTTAACTCGTTCATACCTTCTACTTTAAGACTATGGAATGAGCTTAACACTAATATTAAAACTGCACATTCTTTTAAGAGCTTCACAAACTGCCTCAAAAACAAAATGAAACATTTAGGACCGTAAGTTAAATATTTTACTAACCAAACTCCGTCATAAATGCAGCCCTTTAAATGATGATCTCTTTAATGTTAACCTAATCAATTCTCCTATTTGTGCATGTGGATATCCTAATGAAAATGCTCATCATTTCTTTTTTTTACATGCAGTATATATACTGATCAAAGATTACCAATGTTTAGAAATCTTCATGAATACTTACCTCTAAGCTTAGAGAAATTATTGTATGGCCATGAAGATTATTCGAGTGACGAAAATAAAAATGTACTTATATATGTCCAACAGTATGTTTCGAGTACTCGCAGGTTTCAATATGGTCACGTTCTTATGTCTCCTCTCCAACAGTCCTCATTATCTTTCATATCCATTACTTAGCTTGTGTCCGAATTACATGCCATAACGTGCACTTGTGTGTTCCTTTTTATTTTAGTA